AAGCTGACGAAACTCTTGGATACCTATTTACTGATAGGTGGACAGGGGCATTAGGTGAAAGTAAATGCCCCCAACCATTTCTGTCCCGCCCGGGAATTGAACCCGAAATTCTCGATTGTGAGTCGAAAACGAACCCCACTGTACAACTGGGACCCTCTGCCAGACATATATTTGGCTCTATGAAAGTTTAATGCATATATGGTCTATGTATCACCATACTTAACTTCAAACAAGCTCTTGGAGAATATACACACTCTAGTGTGTATATACTCCAAGATTGCTCTACTTTTATCATATATTATAGTACTTTTGCCTAAATAAAAATAAAAATAATAATAATATTAATTATTATTATTATTATTATTATTATTATATTCCAAGGTTGCTCAACATCGTATGCATTCTAAGGTAAGTCTAGTGTTAGTATATTCCAAGATTGTTCTACTTTGAATATATTCCAAGGTTACTCTAGTGTCAATATATTCCAAAGCAGGTCAACTTTGTGTATATTCCAAAGTTATTCTAGTATAATTAAAATATTTTTAAGTCATCTGAGGTTACTCTAATTTGTATACATTCCAAGGTTGTTCTAGTTTGTATACATCCAAGGTTGCTCTAGTTTGTATACATTCCAAGGTTGCTCTAGTTTGTATACATTCCAAGGTTGCTCTAGTTTGTATACATTCCAAGGTTGCTCTAGTTTGTATACATTCCAAGGTCGCTCTAGTTTTAGAAGGTTTCATTAGTGTGTTTATATTCTCAGGTGACCTAATGTAACCTTGTAATATATATACACTAGAGTAACACGGTTTCAAGCTCAAGAAGCTACAATGTAAGACCGAGAACAGGAGATGCTTTTTCCCACACAGTGTTATAAATCCATGGAACCGCCTACCCACCGAAGTCGTAAATGCCAAAACACGGCTGAATTTTAAAATCCAAATTGAACAAATCATCAGGATAAATGTGTGTGTGGGGGGGGGGGCATTTGACAAGCCGCTAGCCTCCTGTCCTCGTCGAGGCCACTAGTGTGTTAGTGGCCTTTAGGTAAATTATTGTTAAATATACAAACTAGAGTAACCTTGGAATATTTACACACTAGAGTAACCTTGGAATATTTACACACTAGAGTAGCCTTGGGAATATAAAGTGGTTATCATATACTCGTGTGGCGTATGTAGGGAGGAGACCTGTTGAATAAATATGGGGGTTAGAATGAGAGTATTTAATAAAGTTGTTTTCTAATTAAAAGTCTCCAAAACCGGGTTATTTTCTTCTAATTTGCCGCCGGCAGGTGTGAGGGTGTGAGGGTGTGAGGGTGTGAGGGTGTGAGGGTGTGAGGGTGTGAGGGTGTGAGGGTGTGAGGGAACACAAAGTGTGATATGGTCGCAGATAAAGATTTGTGTGATTGTAATGTATGTAACAATAATGTCTATGGGCTATGCTGTTGTTGTGACTGTATGTAATTAGTACTGTAACTTGATGTGAACTTCCCCAGTTATAAAGGTACAACAATTTATGATTGATTTGGTTTGGTAATGTCTTAAGGTAACGTCCATTCATTGTGAGGTTTTCTCTTATCATGTCATCTAGGTGGATGTGTTCCTCAGTAGGGACTTTAAGACGCTTTCCACAAGTAGAATCCAGATTTTAAGGGTTGACAGATGTTAATCATCTAGTTTGAGGAGCTGTTCACAGTTAAGCAAGTCCCAGCTGTGTCTGGGTACAAGTGACAGGATGAACAACCCTGTGGGGTTTCTTCCTATTGGGGAGTGTTATACATGCTGCTATGGCGGTGTGTCCACTCACAACATGAGTGGCGCTGCCCAATAAACTCGCCCCTCGGGGCAAATTTAAAAAAATAATTCACGGAAAACTCAGGATGAAACTGACGAAGCAACATTCTAAAAATACTACTGGCTCATTCAGATGAACTCTACGAAGTCCATAATCATTTATTTTTTTTGCAAAAACACGAAAACACTATACCTGTCAGACTATTCTCACTCTCCAAATTCTACACACATTCCTGTCTCGCTATTCTCCCACTGTTCTGGGTCTGACACTTGACCATAAGCTACGCATACATCCCAGCCCGTCCTCCTAAGGGTTCCCAACGTCAAGAAACTGTCGTACTATAGTGCCCTTATCCTAACCTACCAGAGGACCCAAAACAGAAAACGGGACAGTATGTCAATTTCGCTGTTCGCGAAATTGACATTTTTTAAGTAATTAAAAATTTTTAAGTACGACGATTTTTGGCCTTAGGTAAAGTTTACGTCAAAATGCGACGCTCTTCTGGGAAGTCGGTTATTGCCACAGACTCACGTCACCGCCAACCAAGCAGTAGATAAACAGATTACGACACGTGAGGCGCGTACTCTACATTATGAGGAGCCGATGTACCACTAGAGTACTCGACGTACAAACGCCTCCTAGTGCCGTAGCTCTCTCGCTCTCTAGAGCTCCTCTCTCTTTGGGTCTTACTTCCCCCTTCCTCGGTGCCACCGTCCACCCAGGGAGAGCACCTTAGTCATCCTCGGAGTAGAGTTGCCACTGAACACAGCCTTGCCCCCCGTGGAAAACTAGGCCGACCACTCTCGTGTCTTCCTGCTCCTGTGCCCCAAGACACGAAGACTTGGGGCTTAACCCGGCCGACTTCCCCGCCACGTAAGGATATATGTATATATCTTTAAGGTCCAACCTCACCTGTGGCCAGATAATTTCTTCATGTGCAGTGGAATTTATTCTTGTCCAGCCCGGCATTCGTTCATTAGTGAGCGGTGCTCAGTAGACCCCAAAACAAAATAAAGAGAAATGAAGGGGAGGAAATAAACAGTTTTAAAATTAGTTATGTTTACTCAAATGAGGCTTCACAATAGGAGCCTCGCGGCAGAGTGGACAGCGCTTGGAAGTCGTAGTACTATGGGCCCGGGTTTGATTACCGGCCGAGGCGGAAACAAATGGGCATAGTTTCTTTCACCCTGATGCACCTGTTCACCGAGCAGTAAATAAGACCAGCTCACCAGAGAGCTGGTCTTACCTGGTTGGGACCAGCCCGCCAGGGACCAGCCGACCAGGGAGGCTCGGCCCGGGTCGGGACCAGCCCATCAAGAAGACCCGGGCCGGGCCTGGAACTATGTGCAATCACCCTAATTTACTCACAAAAATAACTGTCAAGAGTCATATTCCCTGAGATATTAGCGACTCCGCGGCCCGGTCCTCGACCAGGGCCTCCTTTTTGTTACATGGGCGCCCCCCCCCCCCCCCCCCCAGGAAGCAGCCCGTAGCAGATGTCTAACTCCCAGGTACTTATTTACTGCTAGATAACATGGGCATCAGGGTGAAAGAAACTCTGCCCATTTGTTTCTGCCTCCACCGGGGATCGAACCCGGAACCTCAGGACTACGAATCTGATGCGCTGTCCACTCAGCTGTCAAGTCAAGTCAGGCGGTGGAGGAAAGGGTTACAGAGGCACAATCGGTTCAGGAACTGAACTACATAGTTCGTTTACCTAAGCAAGTGAATCTTGTGAAGCTAGTTACACGTTGCACGATTGTTTATATATATATATATATATATATATATATATATATATATATATATATATATATATATATATATATATATATATATATATATATTGTGACGGGAAAGTGTTGGAGTGTAGATGTTCGGCAGTCCTCCAATGGCAGGTGTCAGTGCCTAGTCACACACAAAAAAGATACTGCTTGCCTGTTTGTCTGTGGTAAAGTAAGGGAAGACACGCAAAACACATAGTATGAACAATGAAACTTTAATTAATATAGAAAACAAATTATAAACAAAGACAATCCCTTGGCAATGTACAGTGCAAAACAACAAGTCAAAAACAATATAACATAAATGAATAATAGGGATGAAGTTACTCTACAATAATAATAAAGTTAAAGGTGAAAAATAATTAGGTGCTGAGAATATGGCACTAGCTGCGAGACATCCACCTGATATAGCATATATCAGTTTTCACTGCTTGAGAGCACAATGATATTCTGACTTCAGTGGCTGGACCAAGCCCAGACATCGACTCAGGTAGAGGGTGCTGAGGTGCAGTGTGCAGGTGTGCAGTCGGCGAGTCACCAATCAGGAGCAGGCAGGCTGGGAAGGGTAGTTGGCTGGTTGATGACGAGCCGGCGTGGAGGGAGTGGAGTAGGGGGTGAGTCTTGGAAACGTTTTGCCTCCTGGTCAAAACGTTTTGTGCTACTGGGAGACGTATCTTGAAGGTAGCATCTTAATCTTGTATAAAATACGTAACGTCATGTAGAGAAGAGCAGGCTCAATCTCTCTTGAAAGAGATTATCGTCACAATATATATGCCCCAGGCATATATGCAACTGAAAACTCCACACCTCAAAAGTGACTCGAACCCATACTGCCAGAATCACTATGCAACTGGTGTACAGGAGACCTTAACCACTCGACCATCAGTGACCTCACCAAAATGAGGTGATTTGATACAATAACTATGCCCAAGATTACCATCAAAGTGCCGTCGGGATGATGGGCAAATAGTCTCGGCTACCATCACCTTTTTTACGGTCACTGATGGTCGAGTGGTTAAGGTCTCCTGTACACCAGTTGCATAGTGCTCCTGGCAGTATGGGTTCAAGTCCCTTCTGGGTGTGGAGTTTTCAGTTGCATATATGCCTGGGGATCATTCAGGCTTGTTCCCATATATATATATATATATATATATATATATATATATATGGGAACAAGCCTGTCAAGTCAAGTCATATATATATATATATATATATATATATATATATATATATATATATATATATATATATATATATATATATACACACACGACGGGAAGTCATATTTCTAAGATGAGATAGGCATCGAATTTTGAAAACTGCAGCTCAATTTGGGCAAAATATGACAAATCGTCATTTTCACTAATTTGCATATTTTCGGTATAAAAAGTAGTAATTTAAAACTGAAAATATGTGCAATCACCCGGAGTTCCACTCAAAAATACCGCTGAAGTGATGCTTAATTAATGCCGCCAGCTTAACTTGCTGACAAATTAATAGAACAACTATTTTAATAGGTAACATCGTTCTCCCATCATATTAAAACCCTTAGGTGTAATTAACTACCGTCACATCCGCAAAATCGTCCACGTCTGACCATCGGGCAGTTTGACCACCTGGCGCCCTGCCCTCAGGAGTAATCCAATTATGTCATCAGGAACACATCATCAAACTTGGCTATACAGGACAATTTCCAGCTATCAACGAAACTGAGGCCCCTAAACTGTCTAGCTCGCTAACAAGTCTCAGCATCTGCATCAGCCGACGGACTAAATATAAAGAGAAAAACGTTGCCAGGTTACACACCAGGGACGATCCTCTGTAGAAACAGCGGCGGCGGCTGGCTGCGCGGCCCGCCATGCCGGCGCCTACCTCTAGTCTAGGCTGGCCTGCGGTATGTCAAGTTCCAACCTCGGTGTGGGGTTTTTTTAATGCCTTTGGCTGAATTCAATCTTAATTTTCCATTTGTAGGGGTCATGATAGAGGTTTTATCACTCTTTTATTGTACGTGGGCGAGGTACATCAAGGGGACAGAGAAAACGTCGGTGAGAAATGGGTAAAATCGTGAATGTGTGTGAGTTGGGTATCAGCAGGGGTTAAGGGTCCCTATATGGTGGTGTAATGGTCGCTTTAGACTTACGGTGGGGGGACCAGTCCAGTTTTCTAACAAGGATTTTCTGCTCGCCCTTCTCTTTATAATGACTAATTCAATTATGGTCACGAAATTTGCCCCAAAAATTGAATGAACACTGTTGGCCTGAAGGCAGCCTTCCAGCAAGCTGTGTGTCTGTGTTAGAGACGCCAGGGTTGAAACCTTTGAGAAAATATAACCAAGTTTAAAGGAGTGTTGAGGAAGCAGTGTAAGCCTAGCGTGTAGGGCGCGCCAGGTGCACCCTGTTGACGGTGGGCAAGAATGTCTGGGAGGTCACTCAGGTCCCGCCCTGTCTCCCTCTCTCCCTCTCTCTATTAATCACTCAACTTATCTATCTCTATTATCGCTTGTGCTATCTTTCCCTGCCAGTCTTAATTTGTTTCTGCTTGTCTCAAATTTCGTCATGGTTTCTTACCTACATCTTACAGGAAATTGGTTTTCTTTCATATCTATATAGATCTATATGTACAAGAATGTAACAACTCTTGTACATATCTAGAAAAAAATCTTTCTCACTCTGTGTTTACACTTGTCCTCCTTCTCTAGCGTCCCATTTTCTTCAGTGGTCGTTAGCGTAGCAGAAGATGGGGACAAGACATTAGTACACTTTGTACTGAACGGGGTGAGAATAGCTTGAGTTACCTCATCCCTTTGTGTGTATTTATACCTCAATAAATTTATTTAAATTCAATTTCAATGGGGAAGAGTTAATAAAATAAGGAAGGGGTGGGGGGGTGGGGGGGGTGGACCGGGAGACGAGGCCGGTGATCGTCCTTGTGTCCGAGCACTGGAATGTCGGTACCCGAGAGGACGATTACCTTGTGAAGGTACCAAGTATACCTCTTGGTGGTTCGTTGGACTCTCCGTTGGTGGTTCGTTGGGCCCTCCGTTGGTGGTTCGTTGGACTCCGTTGGAGGTTCGTTGGGCTCTCCGTTGGAGGTTCGTTGGGCTCTCCGTTGGTGGTTCGTTGGACTCTCCGTTGGTGATTTGTTGGGCTCTCCGTTGGAGGTTCGTTGGGCTCTCCGTTGGTGGTTCGTTGGGCTCTCCGTTGGTGGTTCGTTGGGCTCTCCGTTGGTGGTTCGTTGGACTCTCCGTTGGTGGTTCGTTGGGCTCTCCGTTGGTGGTTCGTTGGACTCTCCGTTGGTGGTTCGTTGGACTCCGTTGGAGGTTCGTTGGGCTCTCCGTTGGAGGTTCGTTGGACTCTCCGTTGGTGGTTCGTTAGGCTCTCCGTTGGTGGTTCGTTGGACTCTCCGTTGGTGGTTCGTTGGACTCTCCGTTGGTGGTTCGTTGGGCTCTCCGTTGGTGGTTCGTTGGGCTCTCCATTGGTGGTTCGTTGGACTCTCCGTTGGTGGTTCGTTGGTCTCTCCGTTGGTGGTTCGTTGGGCTCTCCGTTGGTGGTTCGTTGGACTCTCCGTTGGTGGTTCGTTGGACTCTCCGTTGGTGGTTGGTATCAATGCTCTGCTTCGCACCTTTCCAGAAGTGCTAGTTCAAAATTTACATTATTGGTTACTTTGGGTTCTGGCTTTATGCTTAAATTGTCCTGTTCTCCTTGTGTTCTGCTGATGTTCTGACATTCTGCAGATGTTCTTATGACTTTCTATTGATGTTTTCCTGACGTTCTGCTGATGTTCTCCTGACGTTCTGCTGATGTTCTCCTGACGTTCTGCTGATGTTCTCCTGACGTTCTGCTGATGTTCTCCTGACGTTCTGCTGATGTTCTCCTGACGTTCTGCTGATGTTCTGACGTTCTGCTGATGTTCTCCTGACGTTCTGCTGATGATCTCCATACGTTCTGCTGATGTTCTCCTGATGTTCTGCTGTTCTCCTGACGTTCTGCTAATGTTCTCTTGACGTTCTCATGACGGTCTGCTGATGTTTTTGTGACGTTCTGCTGATGTTATTGTTACCAACATACCAACTGATGTTCTCTTACCATTCAGCTGATGTTCTGCTGATGTTCTCCTGACGTTCTTTTAATGTTCTCCTGACGTTCTGCTGATGTTCTCCTGACGATCTTTTAATGTTCTCCTGACGTTCTGCTGATGTTCTCCTGACGATCTTTTAATGTTCTCCTGACGTTCTGCTGATGTTCTCCTGACGTTTTTTTAATGTTCTCCTGACGTTCTGCTGATGTTCTCCTGACGTTCTTTTAATGTTCTACTGACGTTCGGCTGATGTTCTCCTGACGTTCTTTTAATGTTCTCCTGACGTTCTGCTGATGTTCTCCTGACGTTCTTTTAATGTTCTCCTGACGTTCTTTTAATGTTCTCCTGACGTTCTGCTGATGTTCTCCTGACGATCTTTTAATGTTCTCCTGACGTTCTGCTGATGTTCTCCTGACGTTCTTTTAATGTTCTCCTGACGTTCTTTTAATGTTCTCCTGACGTTCTGCTGATGTTCTCCTGACGTTCTGCTGATGTTCTCCTGACGTTCTTTTAATGTTCTCCTGACGTTCTGCTGATGTTCTCCTGACGTTCTTTTAATGTTCTCTTGACGTTCGGCTGATGTTCTCCTGACGTTCTTTTAATGTTCTCCTGACGTTCTGCTGATGTTCTCCTGACGTTCTTTTTATGTTCTCCTGACGTTCTTTTCATGTTCTCCTGACGTTCTGCTGATGTTCTCCTGACGATCTTTTAATGTTCTCCTGACGTTCTGCTGATGTTCTCCTGACGTTCTTTTAATGTTCTCCTGACGTTCTTTTAATGTTCTCCTGACGTTCTGATGTTCTCCTGACGTTCTGCTGATGTTCTCCTGACGTTCTTTTAATGTTCTCCTGACGTTCTGCTGATGTTCTCCTGACGTTCTTTTAATGTTCTCTTGACGTTCGGCTGATGTTCTCCTGACGTTCTTTTAATGTTCTCCTGACGTTCTGCTGATGTTCTCCTGACGATCTTTTAATGTTCTCCTGACGTTCTGCTGATGTTCTCCTGACGTTCTTTTAATGTTCTCCTGACGTTCTTTTAATGTTCTCCTGACGTTCGGCTGATGTTCTCCTGACGTTCTGCTGATGTTCTCCTGACAATCTTTTAATGTTCTCCTGACGTTCTGCTGATGTTCTCCAGACGTTCTTTTAATGTTCTCCTGACGTTCTGCTGATGTTCTCCTGACGTTCTTTTAATGTTCTCCTGACGTTCTGCTGATGTTCTCCTGACGTTCTTTTAATGTTCTCCTGACGTTCTGCTGATGTTCTCCTGACGATCTTTTAATGTTCTCCTGACGTTCTGCTGATGTTCTCCTGACGTTCTTTTAATGTTCTCCTGACGTTCTTTTAATGTTCTCCTGACGTTCGGCTGATGTTCTCCTGACGTTCTGCTGATGTTCTCCTGACAATCATTTAATGTTCTCCTGACGTTCTGCTGATGTTCTCCTGACGTTCTTTTAATGTTCTCCTGACGTTCGGCTGATGTTCTCCTGACGTTATGTTGATGTTCTCCTGATGTTCTCCTGACGTTCTTCTGATGTTCTCCTGACGTTCTTCTGATGGTCTCCCGACGTTCTCCTGACGTTCTGCTGATTTGTTTGACTTTCTGATGTTTTCCTGACGCTCTGCTAATGTTCTGACCTTACATTTTGAGTGCAGTTTTATAATAATAATAATAATAATAATAATAATAATAATAATAATAATAATAATAATAATAATAATAATTTATTTAATTAAAAACTATCGTTGCCGAGGACAGGAAGCCTATGCTTAGGCTTATCGAGGTGCCCTCCCCCCCCCCCCCCGTAACAACAGTCACAACAAGTAACAACAACAGTCACAACATCAGTCACAGCAACAGTCACAACAACAGTCACAACAACAGTCACAACATCAGTCACAGCAACAGTCACAGCAACAGTCACAACAACAGTCACAACAACAGTCACAGCAACAGTCTCAACAACAGTCACAACAACAGTCACAACAACAATAACAGTCACAACAAGTCACAACAACAGTCTCAACAACAGTCACAACAACAGTCATAACAACAAAACAGTCTCAACAACAGTCACAACAACAGTCACAACAACAGTCACAGCAACAGTCACAACAACAGTCACAACAACAGTCACAGCGACAGTCACAACAACAGTCACAACAACAGTCACAACAACAGTCTCAACAACAGTCACAACAAGTCTCAACAACAGTCACAACAAGTCTCAACAACAGTCACAACAACAGTCTCAACAACAGCCACAACAAGTCTCAACAACAGTCACAACAACAGTCACAACAACAACAGTCACAACAACAACAACAACAACAACAGTCTCAACAACAGTCACAACAACAGTCACAACAACAGTCACAACAACAACAACAACAACAGTCTCAACAACAGTCACAACAACAGTCACAACAACAACAACAGTCTCAACAACAGTCACAACAACAGTCTCAACAACAGTCACAACAACAGTCACAACAACAGTCTCAACAACAGTCACAACAACAGTCACAACAACAGTCACAACAACAACAACAACAACAGTCTCAACAAGTCACAACAACAGTCACAACAACAACAACAACAGTCTCAACAACAGTCACAACAACAGTCACAACAGCAACAACAGTCTCAACAACAGTCACAACAACAGTCTCAACAACAGTCACAACAACAGTCACAACAACAGTCTCAACAACAGTCACAACAACAATCACAACAACAACAACAGTCTCAACAACAGTCACAACAACAGTCACAACAACAGTCACAACAACAGTCACAACAACAGTCTCAACAACAGTCACAACAACAGTCACAACAACAACAACAGTCTCAACAACAGTCACAACAACAGTCACAACAACAACAACAACAACAACAACAGTCTCAACAACAGTCTCAACAACAGTCACAACAACAACAACAAGTCTCAACAACAGTCACAACAACAACAACAGTCTCAACAACAGTCACAACAACAGTCACAACAACAGTCACAGCAACAGTCACAACAACAGTCACAACAACAGTCACAACAACAGTCTCAACAACAGTCACAACAACAGTCTCAACAACAGTCACAACAACAGTCACAACAACAACAACAGTCTCAACAACAGTCACAACAACAACAACAGTCTCAACAACAGTCACAACAACAGTCACAACAACAACAACAGTCTCAACAACAGTCACAACAACAGTCTCAACAACAGTCACAGCAACAGTCACAACAACAGTCACAACAAGTCACAACAACAGTCTCAACAACAGTCACAACAACAGTCTCAACAACAGTCACAACAATAGTCACAACAACAGTCACAACAACAACAACAGTCTCAACAACAGTCACAACAAGTCACAACAACAGTTACAACAACAACAGTCTCAACAACAGTCACAACAACAGTCACAACAACAACAACAGTCTCAACAACAGTCACAACAACAGTCTCAGCAACAGTCACAACAACAGTCACAACAACAACAGTCACAACAACAACAACAGTCTCAACAACAGTCACAACAAGTCACAACAACAACAACAACAGTCTCAACAACAGTCACAACAACAGTCACAACAACAGTCACAACACCAACAACAGTCACAACAACAACAGTCTCAACAACAGTCACAACAACAGTCTCAACAACAGCCACAACAACAACAACAGTCACAACAATAGTCACAACAACAGTTACAACAACAGTCACAACAGCAGTCACATCAACAGTCTCAACAACAGTCACAACAACAGTCAGAACAACAGTCACAACAACGACAACAGTCACAACAACAGTCTCAACAAGTCACAACAACAGTCTCAACAACAGTCACAACAACAGTCACAACAACAGTCACAGCAACAGTCACAACAATAGTCACAACAACAGTCACAGCAACAGTCACAACAACAACAACAGTCATAACAACAGTCACAACAACAACAACAACAGTCACAACAATAGTCACAACGACAGTCACAACAACAATCACAACAAAAACAGTCACAAAAACAACAGTCACAACAAAAACAGTCACAACAACAGTCACAACAACAACAACAGTCACAACAATAGACACAACGACAGTCACAACAACAATCACAACAACAGTCACAACAACAACAACAACAGTCACAACAACAACAACAACAGTCACAACAACAACAACAACAGTCACAACAATAGTCACAACGACAGTCACAACAACAGTCACAACAACAGTTTCAACAACAGTCACAACAACAGTCTCAACAACAGTCACAACAACATTCTCAACAAGTCACAACAACAGTCACAACAACAGTCTCAACAACAACAACAAGTCACAACAACAGTCACAACAACAGTCACAACAACAGTCAACAACAACAACAACAACAGTCACAACAACAACAACAACAGTCCACAACAACAACACAACACAACAAATAGTCACAGACAGTCACAACAACAGTCACAACAACAGTTTCAACAACAGTCACAACAACAGTCTCAACAACAGTCACAACAACATTCTCAACAAGTCACAACAACAGTCACAACAACAGTCTCATCAACAGTCACAACAACAGTCACAACAACAGTCACAGCAACAGTCACAACAATAGTCACAACAACAGTCACAGCAACAGTTTGATCAACAATCACAACAACAACAGTCACAACAAAAACAGTCACAACAACAACAGTCACAACAACAACAGTCACAACAACAACAGTCACAACAACAATCACAACAACAGTCACAACAACAATCACAACAACAGTCACAACACCAACAACAGTCACAACAAGTCACAACAACAGTCACAACGACAGTCACAACAACAATCACA